GATCATCACTTCATCCTTTAGACATTTGTGTTAAATTATGTCATAATTAGTGTATGAATTTGTGAATTATGGCCTGAAACTTGACCTTTGACCTAGGACCAACAAAATCTAATCAGTTCATCCTTGGGTCCAAGTGAATGTTTGAGCCAAATCTACAGAAGTTCCCTGAAGGTGTTGAGACGTCACGTTCACGAGAATGAGCCTGAATAATAATAATAATAAAATAATAATAATAATAAAGCCTGAAGCTGCTCTGTCTTTTTTTAATTTCACCGCCTGTAATGTGCTCTACTGACTGGCCAACATGCACTAAAACCTGTCAGCCAGGCAGGAAGAGACGGCATTTAGTTAGCGAGTACTGCAATACCACATCAGAGCCTCTCTGAGTCATTGAACACACCTGTCGGTCTAAACACAGCAGGCAACATGACAGAACCACAACCATTAGAACCACTTCACACGTGATTCCTTTAGAGCAGGTCACAGCTGACCCAAACCTCCACAGAGATATTTCTTACTGTGACTCCTTGTTTACCAGAGCAGGACTCAGGACCGCGTCTGGACTCCGAATGTTAGATAATCCCAGACCTTATCACATGCAGGTCTATTCTCACCATCATCTTCTTTCTTCCTTTTTCATTAAAGTTTTTTTTGGGGGGCTTTTTATGCCTTTATGATAGCACAGTAGAGAGAGACAGGAAATGGGGAGGCAGAGAGAGGGGGAATGACATGCAGTAAAGGGCCGTCCGATGCGAGACTCGAACCAGGGCCGACTGCAGCGAGGACTGTTGCCTCTACATATGGGGCGCCTGCTCAACCCACTGCGCCACTCGACGCCCCTTAAAGTTTTTTTTGCTAGTTTTCCTTATAGACTTCCTTCACATGGCTTGACTGCAGAAAATCCATCACACATCTGGTGGCAAATTAAAAACATTGTAGCCGTCAGAAACCAATGTGAGCACAATGAGTCACTTTTGGAACAATATTCTACTTTTAATACCCACAGAGCTGATCAGCTGACCCTCTGCCCAGCCATCCAGTATAAACAATTTACACTTAGATAATATGCAAACAGCTCTGGAGCCCTCTATTGGTCCTGCACTGTAATAACCTACAGATATTTGATGACATAACAGCTGATATTCAGCCTCTAAAACTACTACTAGTAACTATTATAGACAGACAGACAGACAGACAGACAGACAGACAGATAGATAGATAGATAGATAGATAGATAGATAGATAGATAGATAGATAGATAGATAGATAGATAGATATGTGTGTTCAGAAATGCTTCACTCTCTTACGGATCCAAACAACCCTGTGACGTACTGTAGGTGATGTAGGTGATTTTATTCCAAAATGGCGGCTCACATAGATAGCTATTACAAAACACAAATTTGTCATATCTATCTGATTTTTGTCAGGGTGGGTTTATTAATATATCTGAGCACTACCAGTACCAAAACATACATGTTTGTAGTGCTAAATATGACTCACGTTTGACATGTTCCCACAGACTTTGATTATCTGACTATTTTACCTAGTGACCTGTAAGACAAGAAGGCAAGAGTGGAAAATGACAAAACAGTGACCCCAACATTAACAGTTGCTAACAGTGTTAATCAAGGGGGGATTTTGTCCTGATGATGGATGAAGCCGCTAAAAATCATCAAATCAATCATCCAGAGACCAGATGTATTGGTCTCTCTAGAGAGACCAATACATCTGTTCTTATGTATTGGTCTCTCTCTAGAGAGACCAATACATAAGAACTGATGAAGCCGCTTGGATAAGAGGCGAAACGTCTTCCACAGACAAATACAAGTCCAGTGGACAGTAGCTGTTGATATTAAGTGTTTTTCAGATGGACAGCCTCCAACATCATTTGAATACCAAGTTATGAGACTTTACAGTGGTGTTATGTCTAAACTTCAACAGTCTTTTCAATCCTCCTGTTGATGCCAGCTTCCATCTTAAGGTTGAAATGAGCCAGCGGAGGTATGGGATGGATGGCAGGATGAAAAGCCAGCACAAAGAGGGTGGACATGATGAACCATACACAGGAGGATACCCCCAACACACACACACACACACACACACACACACACACACACACACACACACAGTCTGACAGCCTGTTCTCAAACACGTTCATGGTGCTGCTCTCGGTTACTCACATGAAAAGTGTCAGATGTCACTTGTCAGTGAAGTTGTGTTAAAATTTAAAATAGAGCTTCAAACATCACCTGCTTTCACAAACACGGGCGTGAACGTTGGACCATGCTGCAGTTCCTCAGTGATGACATCAGACAGGTGTGAGGGGCGGGGCTTCAGGTGATCTGACATGCACTTCATTCACTGAATTCTGATGCTGTTTGACTCATGAACTAAATCATGTTAACCAAACTCACTCAGCCAAAATCATGATGGTGAAAGTTAGAATGATGACTCAGACTATTTATTGCAGTGTCTCAGCAGTTACTTAGTACAGAGTGATCATGGGAAATATAAAGATACTGTATAAAACAACACAGGTTACAGTAAAGTGGAGTGATTCTTAAAGTGTGATCAATCATTTTGTGGTTGCCTAAAAATAAACATCTCAGAAACAGCCGTGACAGAGGTCAGTGGAGTCTGGTTCAGACCTCAGCAGTGGTGAACAGAAGGACAGCTAAACACACAGCAGAGCACTCAGGTGTTTGCAGCAGGTCTGGCAGGAATGAGTCTGCATAGGAAGGTTTCCAGCACCTTCAACGGATACAGGTGATACGGGATCTACGAGGAAAAGTCTGTAAGAGTCTGAAGCTGGACTCAGATCCTTTGTCACAGTGGAATTAACTGAGGAAAAAATAATCTGGGATAAAGTCAGTGATGACATATGCAACAAATATCAGAATAACTAACTGGCTTTGAAAATAGCTGTGCATTTCCCATGTGCCCCCTGAAGCCACAGATACTTATATATATATATATATATATATATATGTATATACAGAAGAGAAGGATACAGTGGATCAGAGGATTATTACAACAAAGGTTTATTAGGCCTGTCAGATCCTCTGAATGCCCAGTCCTCATGTTGCAGGCTGCAGAGACAGTGGAGGATACAGCCTGAGCGAAAGTGTACTGCCTGTGATTCATGTTGTCATGGTTTCACTGTGTGCTCTGTCTGTTCTGGTTCCTCTACAGGCCCCAGTGACACTATGCACCAGCATACAGAAGTATTTGTGTCTTCATACAGTTTTCAGCTCTGAGTCTTCGAGTGCACTGATCCTCCACCACCTCCCTGAGCTGAACAGATGATAATCAGTTTTACTTTTCCCTCTCTGGGATGGAGTCAATTATTAAACATCTAATTCATCAATTCCTACATGGAGATTAGTTTATTCTATATTTCTGTTCCTGTCAGAAAATCAGATACAGATCATCTGATTCCTCAAGTTAAGTCAATTTCTATTTGACACAGTGCAGCAATTATGACAAAATTTCATATAAATTCATTGCAATTTTGGGGGATTTTAACCATGTCACTCTCACCTCTCACCTGACTGACTTCACTCAGTGTGTTGACGGTCCCATAAGGGAAAATAACACACTGGATCTGTTGTATGCAAATGTAAAGGAGGCCTACACTGCTTCAGCTCTACCACCACTTGGCAGATCAGATCAGATCATAATCTGGTTTTTCTTCAGCCTTCCTACAAGCCCTGTGTGTGCAACATGAGCTGAAGAGGAGATTAAAGCAGGCGAAGGAGGGCTACAAAAAGAAAGTAGAGAGGAAGCTGCAGCACAACAACACCAGAGAAGTGTGGAAGGGGATAAGGCCATCACTGGCTATAAAGAGAAGAACAGCCAGGCAACATCAGGTGATGTGGACAAGGCCAATGAGTTCAAGCTGTTCTACAGCAGGTTTGACACAGCCTCACCTGTTCTCTCTCCCACTGCTTCAGCTGCAGCTTCTCCTGCACAACCTGACACTGCAGCTGCAACTCCCTCCACACTCCCTTAAAGGACTGTGCAGCCCAGCTGGCTGAGCTTCCCGGTCCTGTGGAAAACATCATGTCTCGTTCCGGTACCTAAAGTAGGACGACTGGCGGAGATAAATGACTACAGACTGGTGGCCCTCACATCACACATCATGAAGACCCTGGAGCCGCTGCTTCTCCACCTTCTGAAGCCACAGGTCGAACATGCACTAGACAAGACAAGCTGGAAGGGATGGGGGTGGATCCCAGCTTCATGTCTGGATTACGTGACAAGACGACCACAGTACCTCAGGCTGGGTAACTGTGTCTCAGGGACAGTGATGAGCAGCACTGGGGCTCCACAGGGGGCTGTTCTGGCTCCAGTCCTGTTCACCCTGTATACGGCTGACTTTAAATACAACTCTGAGTCCTGCCACATCCAGAAATACTCGGATGACACAGCTATTGTGGTGCGTATCAGGAACAGGCAGGAAGAGGAGTACAGGGATCGGACGATGGCCTTCAGTGAATGGAGCGACAAGAACTGCCTCCTTCTGAACACCTCCAAGACCAAGGAGATGGTCACGGACTTTCGGAGGTCCAGGCCCACCCTTCAGCCAGTCAACATTCAAGGGAAGGACAGTGAAGTCATGCACACTTAGAAATACCTAGGTGTGCACCTGGACAGTAAACTGGACTGGTACCTGAACACAGATGCTATATACCTGAAGAGGCAGAGCCGGCTCTTTTTCCTCAGGAGGCTCAGGTCCTTTGACGTCTGCAGTGAAATGCTGCATGTTTTATCAGTCAGTGGCCTTTACTACAAATGTGTGTTCAATAAAGTGGCATGTCTAGGATTTTCATTTTCTTTTAGTGTCTGTTAAATCACTAAAGATAAAGAAAAAGAGCTCTTCTTTAAACTAAAGTGAGTTTGTCACAAAATCTTCAAAATCACCCGTCACCTACATCATAGTTAATACTGCTGATCCAGCAGCTGCAGTTTGTTGTTCACTGTTTGCTGTTGTCAAGGACTGCAGGGACAACCAGGATTTTATTTAAAACAAGTTATTACAGACAAACTTTTCTGTCCTGTTCATTTTTATAAGTATATGCCATTGTTTTTTATTAAGCATATCAAACATGTTTTCTGATTGACACCCCCCTCAAAAAAGTCACACTCTTCTGCAGCCGCACCTCCTAGAAATTAGGTTTATATACAGCTACTCAGTGACAGTAAATACGTTCAGAAGGAAACTTGACTGTAACCAGGTTAAGTTTTCTGTTAAAGAGGAAATGTTCATTTAATGTTACATATCTGGGTCGAACAGGATTTGGTTCAGGTTAGGGAAAGATCCTGGTTGGTTCTCCTATAGAAAAAGTTCAGTGACTTCAGACACAACCTGTTTATTTACATTAAACCAAAACCACCATCTTTCACCAACCAGAACCAGAACCAAAGAGCTGCTGTTGTCTAAACCACAGACAGGACTCTGGGTGTGAACCTGTTGCCTCTGAACATGACCCAGTCAGGATGTTTTAGATGCAGAGAAGGTTAGAGAGTAACCATGGAAACCACCTCACTGCCTCCCAGGCTACAATATAAACTCATTAAGTTTGAAAGACTCCACTGTTTATCAAGTATCTAGTGAAAAGATACTCTTGAGGTGCATCATGGGAACTGTAGGAATCAGTGTTTTTGGAGCTTGACTCACAGCAGGATAAAGTCAGGCCATTCTGCCTCCTTTGTTTGGACTCTTTTTCTTTAATGTGTCACATGTCAGTCCTCCAGTCTTATGGAGCTGTAATACTGAACCACTGGAGCACTTGTTACGTTTATCTATGTCTCAGACCGACTCTGTAGTCAAACTGTCAGGATCTGGATGTTGAACAAGTTCCCTCTGGATCAAAACTGTGACAGACCAAACATATATTCATAGGATATTTTGTGCATAGTGTCAACAGGCATGAACTCTGGGTTGTGAGTTTGTAACTGAGAATGTTATGAAACTGAGGTGTGATGTCAGGACAAGAAATCACAGTCATTCCCCTGTGTATAATACGTACACAATATTCCATGATCCTGTCCTGTCTCATCCTGAACCATGATCTGAAACTGAAGATTAAAGCAGACACACTGAGGGGTACTGGACTGGGGCAGTGAGGGCTGACAGCAGAACAGGGAGGTGCAGGTCCAGGCCGCATCATAAGCTTTGCTCTACAAGTCTGTAAATTGTCTCGGTGGATTGTTCACATTCACACTCTGAAAAACTACCAAGCATTTATACAGAAGCTCTTCCCTCCAGTCTCAACATCAGTTCTCAATCTCATTGAAGTACTCTGAGAAGCCTGAGTATGGAGTGATGTCACCAGGATCTGCAGGACAAGACAACACAGATGTTAAACACTCACCTGGTACAGATATCTACAGTACAGTAACGTCTGATTTTAAAAGAAAAGAGATTTTTTTTCTTGTGTAACAACATGTGTTTGTTAGTTTGACGGAGAGGTGACAGTCAGACACAAGCAGACACACAACAGCTGCTCAGAGTCAAACAGCATCTTCAGACTTGTACCTTCACATGGTCCCCTTTTAAAACTGATGTCATCAATAGCAATGTCACTTCGTAGTGATGGGCCCCGGATGGCTTCAAATATTATCTGCAGGAAACAAAAACCATGTGACTATGTTAACCACCAGCCACAGAACAATGGACCTCATTCATTTTGACCTCAGTTTGTTTTTTTGGGATTTTTTTGTTTTCACATTTCACAATTCAACAGTTTTACAGAGTAAGAAACACAAAGTTTCCTTTCCCACTCACACCCAGAAAAAAAGAGGGAAACATAAGAGAGCTTATGTTAACAATGGTATCTCCCTAAAACCAACCCAGTTGAAACGTCCTTTTGTAATTGTTAATATGGGAGAATCTTGTAATACAATTTCAGACACCCCTAAAGTGGACTGTACCATTTCTTAACCTTGACATTAATTGAACCTCAAGTCTCTACTCCTGTCCGTCACGGTGACACTGTTTCAAATGGTTTCTCAAACTGTCTGAGGGACCACAAAGCTTATAGTAGTGAGCAGTGTATACAGTATATATGAGTAGTATATATTTTTTTATATCAAATCATCTCAGATGTAAATTCAAACATTATTTGAACTGGCTGTTTTACCGTGTTGTTGGACTTCACTGTAACCAACCTTTTTGCAACACTGTCTACTTACGTATTTACATCAGTTTACAGTTTGTGTTTCATGTTAACATGATCAGGGTGACATCTGAAAGGAAATGTGGATGAATCTTATGGTTAATCTGCTCTGGGACTGTGATAAATTTCTCCAGTTATCAGCCTATTAACTGTCAAACAAAGACAACTGACAAGGTCATGGACCAGTGGATTCAAATGCAGCGAGTACTGGACCAATCAGAAATGTTCAGCACTGCAGACAACTCCCCTAAAAGTTCCTGAACCTTTGGTAAGTACTACCCCCCGACCAGGGACTTTTTTGAGGTTCCTGCAGTGGAAACATGCATAGTTCCTCAAAAGGTTCCTGGGGAATGTTTCTGGGGAAAGTTCCTGCGGTGGAAACGCGCCAATAGAAGACAAAACCAAGCTCAACATAAACACTGCTGGAAAATAGCTGCATGAGAGGTAAAACACAACGATGAGTTCATGGCCCAGTACAGAACTGAAACACTGCACCAGAGACACAGCAGGGTCCTGCACTCTTTGTTCATTTCAGTCCAAACCTGAATGTCCCACACGTGAAATGAGAAACCTTTACAACAGGAATCAAATCCGTCTGTGATTACTTCATCACTTATTTTGACAACTACAAGAGATGTTTTAATATCAATTATTATCTGTGTAGTAAACAAATACCAACTAAATTATAAAATAAAATAAGTAACTAAATAATTAGAGATCCACTGTGAGGACAGAGAACGTAGAGCACAGGTTACACATCATCAAAAGGCTCAGAGTTGCTCAGACCTGACACAAAAAGGTCTCCATAATGAACTCGGCTTCTCTGCCAGCTACAGTTAGTAGCACAATGCAGTGCATTAACCTGATCAATCTGATGACGACCCTGTCATTCACATATTTCTACATACCTGGTGTCGGGCATCACAGTGGTAGTCCACCATCGCCCTCATCCAGCTGACGCTGTGCTCGCCACGCCTCCTCCACAGCAGCGTGTCCCGCTCTCTGCTGCTGTGGCGCAGGAGCACGCTCAGTATGCCGGTGCCTGATCCATACATGTGATAGTGGAAGATCAAACACTGAGGGGACGAGGAGCCCCGCAGGTCAGAGGTCAGCAGCCGAGCTTTTTCACCCGGACGAATGAGTGATGCCTCGATGTACATGAAGTAACCTGGAAGAAGTACACGCTATATAAAACCAGGACTAGATCTTCAGGTCTGGAACATTAATGTTATACTTCACATCATCTTGTGAATCATCTGAGTGAATGAATGAAGCAGTGAATGGAGAATGACTCACCCACCCCAGTGGTGTGGTCTCCTCTGGGTCCTGTGTAGGAGGTGGGGGTGTATCCTCGGATTCGCAGCCAGTCGGCCTCGTCTCCCGTCTTATCCTGGGTGTACCCGCAGACTCCACTTTCAAAGTTACACTGGCCTGGGAGGGAGCCTGTGGAACACACACAGAGTCAGTGCAGACATGTAAGGTGGAAGGATCCACTTAGAGACTGGCTCAGTGCAGCTCCAGGATCTGTGCGTGAAGGAGACCCAACAGCCTCAGTTCGGAGGGGGGGGGGGTGTCTTTATACAGTTATATGGGGTCTACTGTGGCTTTGTCCAGTCTGATGATGTCATCAGGTTTGTCTCACAGCTCCTACCTGCTAATGAAAGCTAATGAGTTGGATTATGGGAAATGTAGGTTCAAGCTTGTCAAACTTGACCCACATATGAACTCAAAGTCAGAATCTTAGTCGGGCAATACTTCATCACTACATCACAGGAGCACCTGTTTCATTAATACCAGGTAACATGATGTTACAGAAATGTTCATTAACTGCTTAAAGATCAGTTTTAGTTATACATACATCTGTAATCTTATTGGTTTATTTATTCTCAGCTAACTGATACAGCATCTCTCCATCAACCAGCCGAGTTACAGGAAGTACACACACAATCACAATCTCTCCTTCCTGACTTAGTGTTGAATAATAACCAGAAGTGTTTTTACAGAACATTATGATGTCACAGTGAAGTTGACCTTTGACCTTTTGGATATAAAATGTCATCACTTCATCATTTTCTCCTATTAGACATTTGTGTTAAAATGTGTCATAATTAGCGTAGGAGTTCTTGAGATATGGCCAAGAAAAAGTGTTTTGAGAGGTCACAGTGACCTTGACCTTCGACCTTTGACCATCAAAATCTACCCACCCTTGAGTCCAAGTGAATGTTTGAGCCAAATTTGAAGAAGTTCTCTTGAAGTGTTACTGAGATATCACGTTCAGGAGAACGGGACAGACCTGCCTCCACCCTGACTGTCGCTGGTGCAGAGGAATAATGACTGATGGATCAGTGATCTACACCATTAAATGCTGAGTCCATGAGTCCATGGGGTTCAGGTTGGCATGTAATAAGTGGAACACTGTGGGAAATTGTTGGTGTGATATTAACTTAAACACAGTGTGTTTGTCTACAATTGTGGCTTAGAAGATCAGATCATAGTTTATGGTGAGTTAATGCAGGAAACTGTAAAACGGTTCGCATGCTTTTTCTTGCCACTGTGGATGAAGAGCTGCACAAAGTGACCAGTCTTACTGTGACCTGCTGCTGCTTTCAAACCTGCTTTGTGTGAGCAGCATGAAATCAGATGGAGTCAATTATTATTGATTGACTTCTTCATGAGTTTGTTGGGCTGCACTGGAAACAGACAGCAGCTGTAAACCACACCTGCTGTTCCCAGATCAGCCAGCAATGACATTTCAATTATTACAGATTCTCCTGGTTATGTCAGACATTAATAATAGTTGTCAGTTTATGTCTCAGTGATTCTTTTACCTGATGTGATTTGACAGTCCCCCACATTGACAGTGATGTCATCGATGGCGATCAGGCCACATTCCCAGAGGTTCTTACATATGCTGACGAACACAACCTGGGAAACAGGAAAGTAGTGAGTAATGCTGTCCAATTATCATCCGGTCCATTCATCATTCATCCATCCATCAGCCTGTCTCACTCCACAAAGAGTATGTCATCGATCTGACGCTGCATACCTTGGAAATCATGGGCTTCCTGTAGGTGACCTCCACCTGAGTCCACATGGCCCTGGACGTGTCAGCCAGGCTCCATACCTTCTCCTGGGCCACGTTGTTCTCATCATAAATGTAAACAGCCAGAGCACTTTCCACTTTTTTAAATCCATGAAGCATGTAGTAGAACCTCAGGCAGTATTTGTGGTTCCCCGGTAAGAAGGGACCGTGAAGCCGACCCACGTAACCGGGCCTCGAGGCTAAACAAGTGTTAGCCAGGAGGAAACAGCCTGAGATAGATGAGACAAACAGGGTAAAGAAGAAGAGAGTTATTGGTTCATCTACAATTAGACACTTTAATATTAAAGAAACCTTCGCAAGCTTAAACTCTTGATTCGAATCTATCCCTGTCACCCATGCTTTTACTGTGTACGCCAAGTGTAGCTTCCTGTTCCGGGTTCACAGGTGTGGGGGTGTGGCCAGGAGAACAAAGGAGGGTGAATTGTTTGGTGAAGGAGGAAAAAGGCATTTATCCCCTTTTGTGGTAAAGTCTCATTCACACGGAGGTCATGGGAATTCACAAAACACACATTTCAGTACGACAACAGTTCTTGTGAGAACCCCTGCAGCAGCCTTTTGGACAAGTTGGAGACAGTTGATGGATTTCTGGGGAAGCCCAGCAAATAAGGAATTACAGTAATCAATGTGGGCGGAAACAAGAGCATGAATGAGAGTTTGAGCGGAGTATTGCTTAGATCAGATCATTTCTGATCTGACAGATGGCAGATTCAGTGATATTGCTAAAACGTTTATTAAAATTGAGGTCTGAATCAAAGATTACTCTAAACTAAAGCTTGGCTCACAAAATCCCTGTGTTCTGGGTCCAATCACCATTACCTCTGTTTTATCATAATTTAACATTAAAAAGAAAAATTTGAGACAGATCCACATGTCCAGCCATGTTCCAACTCTGAATGGTGAGATATAGTAGTAGTATTGAATCATCACACATAATGCAGCATATATTGTGTACAGCTGGTCACGGACTTTCAGAGGTCTAGGCCCACCCTTCAGCCAGTTCAGGGACCAGTCCAGTAAACTGTAAACCTCCAGTAAACTGGACTGGTCCCTGAACACAGATGCCATCTACCTAAAGGGGCAGAGGCAGCTCTTGGCTCTTTGTACACTGACTAAATAACATCAGGTTTACTGTGTTTGCATATATTAGAGGAGATGAAGAAGAAAAAAAGGAGATGTTTATGTTCTTCATGTACAAAAACACAGATGGCTTCATTTGGAATGATCCTGACATCCATCGCTGCAGGTGTTGGAGCAGGTGACTCACCTGCTCCTGTGGTGTGGTCTCCTGTCCTGTAGGCATTAGGTTTGACTGAAGCTCTGCTCCACGCCTTCATCTCTGCTCTCTCCTCGTAGTACAGACACAGGCCGTTCTCAAAGTCACAGTTGGCTATGGAGGGGTCAAAGGTCGGCTCTGCAACACAAACCACAGCGGGTCCAACATGAACCTCGTTAACAGAGGGCAGAGAGGAAACAGTGAGCACTGTGAAGCAGGAGGTGAGGGTTAGGACCAGGAGGCTACAGGAACAGAGGATCACAGAACGACATGAAAGAAGACATAAAAATATACAGACAACGCTCTAATGACTTCATAGATCATGGTTAATCTGAGAGATGAATTTTTCTCTATTAACAAGAGGCTGATCACTTTAATTTCTATCTGCTCCTGTGTGTGTGACACACTAAGGCCCAATTCCAATCCAGAGAAATCCTAGAAAACAGTCACATTTCTGTTTGAGGTCATTTATGACTTCTCCTTTGGAAACAAACACAGGAACTCACATTTGTAGGTTTGTGACATTTCATCCATCCCAGACTCAAAACGATGCTGCACTCACCTGGGAGTGTGGTTTGTTAGCATGCATTGATGCGGCACTGGGTGCTGGAGGGCTTTATAACCCGATCCCGACTTAAGGGTCATGAGTTTGGAACAACACTTAATGTGGCGGACCCTTCACGGGGTGTAATGTCAGGTGAAATGTTGAGTTGCACATAATACAAAAGCCGACAGAGCTCAACACACTGCCGCTTCAGATAATATACCGTATGTAAATACACAACACACATAATCTTCACTTGTGTGACAACACTTATGTCTCATTTAGAGAAAAAAACACATAAAACCTATCCTGTGTTGTTTCCTGTTCTCTCTCTGCATCACTGGTGGATTTTACAACTGATTTTGATTGGCTGATGATTAATAACCATCTAACCAATCTAATCAACTGCTCTCTAGATATATGCTCTCATCTGTGTCATCATTTCTCAAACAGACTGTCTACAGTCCATCAGCGCCTGAGCAGAATTTAATTAGCATTGACTCACAGACTGTAACAGAGTTTCTTCTATAATCCTCTACGTCCTCCTGAACACGAGCAGGTCTGATCAGCAGCTTCCAGAAGAGCTGCTTTCAGGTTACTGAGGTTCAACCAGTTATTAAATCCAAGGTTCACTGACTGTTTCCAGCAGCACTGTGAATGTTTAATGACTGTGATCAATAAAGACAAAGATGATGATTGTTTGTGATAACGGCTTAGTGACGCTGTTTGTCTGGATCAGATCACAGATCAGTTCATGCAGAAAACCAGGTCACTGAGCGGGGGCCCACACACTCGAAGTTCACTAACCCGGGACCCTCGGGGCTGGCTGGACCTGGAAGGGCCCCACTCTTGCTCCATGACCCAAGCTATGGTTCTCGACACCTAACCCTAACAGTTCACCCTGTCTCTGTTGGGTTCCTGACCTGAACCATCGTCCCTCTCTTTTGCTTTCCCTCCATTCTTTCCTTCTGTCCTTCTGTCTCTATCTTTTTTTTTTGCCTCTTTCTTTATTGTCTTCTCTCTTCTTCAGCTGCCTTTTCATTTTGTTTCTGGTTTTCTGACTTTTCTCTCTAAGAGTGCCCCCCCCCCTTCTCTGGTATCTCTTTCATTCTGTGTTTTGTCCCTCAGAGGGCTTGGTGGTTGTTGAGAATCTGAGTCTAACCCTAAGGTGTAATTAACATTGCAGCCTCTAGTGGCCATGAGTGAGACTTCAGACCTGGAGTCCAGCTTATTGAAGTGAACCAGGACTGAGGTCCGGGTCTGTGACTGAGGTCTGGATGTCTCCTCTCACCTGTGTCAGTGTGGCAGAACTCAGGGGAGAAGGAGATGTCGTCTATGGCCACGTATCCACCTTTGGCACTGTTGAAGGCCACTTCAAACACCACCTGACGACACAGACATGAACACTGTGAGAACATGTGTTGAGGTCTGAGGACTGATGGATGAGGCAGCTGTAGGAGCCCATAGTGACATCAGGGTAAACTCAGGAACATGGGTGAGTCAGCTGCCTGATGGAAAAGCTCTGGTCCAGTGTTGGCTCGACCCGACAGAGGAGCTGACCCAGTTAGTGGAGTTAAAGGAGCTTTTTCCACACGACAGCAGCGGCCTGTGGGAGGTGTTCTTGGCTCAGAGCTCAGGGAAAGGAAGGAGGGGAAGTGCAGGGGAAACCACAGCAGAGTGTGTGTGTGTGTGTGTGTGTGTGTGTGTGTGTGTGTCTGCCCAACTGCACACACCACAGCACAAACACAACAATCAGACAGACAGAGAAGTAACGTGTTTTTTCTGCAACATCAGATGAAAAAGAGATTAAAGGGAAACAAGGTGCACACAGCAACATCTGCCCATACATCTCTGATCTGTCTGAACACACACACACACACACACACACAAGCAGAAGTTCATTACAAAGGAGAGTATTTACTGGTGTCACAGTCATCACCCTGCATGACATGATTTTTATTTAATTTACAGGTTTTAGAGATTAAAGTTTTCATTTATGACAACTGTCATTTCCATCTTTCTTCTGTTGTAGATAAATGATGTTGGTTCTGGGGTTGAAGCACTGACCAGGGTTTGGATCTCTCTGTTCACTCATCTCCTGTCATCTCTCTACTTCCTTCCTATTCATGAAGTATTTTAAGGAAATGTTATATTGGAGTCAATGAGATACAGTTTTTTTTGTAGTTTTATATTTGTTTGCACTTTGTTAAAGCAGCTGAATCAGCTGTGATCAGCTCCTGTTTGCAGTGTATTATGGATGTACAGACAATTATCACTGGATCGATGTGATACTGAAGAAGAACTCTAAATGAAGTCTTGTCTCTGGTTTCTAAGTGGATCTCTGGACAACATGTGAGATAATATCCTGAGAGTGTAGGTCACACTGAATCTAACAACATGCGAATCAGGTCGTGTTCACATGAGACTGAGAGTTATAATCTGTAACTTTTCCACATTAAAATGTCTAAAAACTAGATCTATGTTCTATATGTTGTTGAGTTGTGTTCTTTCATTTTCCTCTCCATCAATTCTCAAACCAGAGAAATCTGTGATTTTAATCATGGAAACAGTATGTTTCATTTGGTCTCCTGTCAATGACATCATATTATGTCATTGACAGGAGACCAAATGTTTTTAAGCCACATACACTTTTTACACCTTGGTGGTTTTCAGCTCTATATTTGAACCAGATGAAGGATTTTAGTCGTCGGACGTCTGGATCTGAAGTTATCAGAGAAACAAGCTGAGGAAATGTTAGACAGCTCAGCTCCCAGCTGCTGGAGACGTCCTGTCCTGTGTCACTGAAGAGCATCGATGAATCACTGATGTTTAAAGTGAAACTGCTTTATTCCTTGTTTCTACTGGTTTGAATCCCCTGGTGTGTTTGTTGTGGAGAGGAGGACACCTCTGTGGATAATTCAGCTGCTGGTAAACACCTGCTGAACATCTGCTTCATAAGTTATCAGAGAAACAATCAGAACAAAGGTTAGCATCAATCTCAGCTCCAGCTCTTCCCTGAGTCTCTGTCCTCCGTACAGCGTCGCTCAAACACTGACTTTAAATGTCAAACTGCGTCATTCAGTGTTTTTAACAGTTAGAATATGTTTGATTTCCTGAACCACTGACACTGAAGGAATCCAAACCAGGAGAAGCTTACAGCAATGGTGGTGAAGACAACAACTCCCATGATCCCATGCTATTTCATGACGTCACCCATTGCTGTCTTTTGATACTGTTTTGATTGAGAGACCTAGAGGCAGAAGTTACAGACTGTGTGTTTAAAGCACCTTAATCACCTCCTTGGATAGACCACAATAACTTACTTCCACATACACCTGTCCCTCTCACATGTTTCCATGGCGACTCAACTTAAAGTTTTCTGGAGCATTAACTTTGACATGTTTTTCTAACACTTGTAACATCCATACAAATATAGTTTTGGTCTCATCTCTGTATTCAGCAGCAGTTTATTTTGCCTTAGTAACAGAGAGAATGTATGTGTGAAGACTAACATGCAATTAAACTGGATATGTGTAATAATGTACATGCTCGGTGCAGCTCTGACCTCCAGTGGGTGGGGGGCCTTGATGTCCACGCTGACCATGGTCCAGCCTGCAGTAAAGTATACCTCCGGCCTCCAGATCTCCTCGTAGTGGCCCAGCTGGTCTCTGGTGAAGACTGAGAAGATGTTTCCCCTCTCCTGGTCTCGCTGGTAATAGAAGGAAAGGCAGCCGGCCATGGGCACCGTGGTCATGGGGGAGGTCAGCTTGGCCACTTCCTGGAAATGCTTGGCATACACGGAGTCCACATACATGTAGTGGCCTGGAGCAGAGGAAGATGAAGGTTCATGGTTACGTACATATGAGTGGTCCTAAAGGCCGTCAGCAGACTGTGTGAAGAGACACATTCACTTACGGACTGTTACTGTGACTCATGACACACACCTCCAGGCAGAGATGATAACCAGCAGGTCTTCACTCTAACCCAACAATACAACAGCTCATGTCAGTGAACAGCAGCTTCCTGATTACAGACTCTGCCTCCACAACCATCACTTCAAGTACACTGACAACCTCCAGAGACCAGATGCATAAAACTCAGTGTAGATTCATGACTAAAACTATGTGTATGCACAAAACCAGAAATATGCTTCACCTTTATATTAGGGGCACATGTGCACGAGCCTCATTTCCAGCCATTTCAGCCATAAATGGATGAAGACACTCCCTTAATCCATCAGTTTTCATTAAAAAAAAACAGTGTGTGCCACAGGTGATCAGACACAGAGAAGAAAGACGAGAAAGAACAATTTCACTGATTGTGCAAGTGAAGTAAAAACATGCATCAGTTTACTTTAGTACAATCACTGCAAATGTGAAATGCTGTTTTACTCATTTATTGGGACTAGAGAGTCTTAATGGAGATCCAGACAGGCTCTATAACTGTGATTAGTAAATATTAAAATAGTATGAAACTGAATGAGTCACAATAAATAATAAATATAAGATTAATATATGAATTAAAATCAAAAATAAATAAATCAATATTAAATGATGCCAAAGGACACATTGAGCACACACACACAATTATTTCCATTTATGAATTGTAAAATTGTAAGACTTATAATAATAATAATAATGAATGAAGCTCTGTGAAATTTTATTTTATGTTAAATTAAGTGTTGCAACTTATTTTGTATTCTCAATTCACTGTAACTTGGATCTCTTTGAAAAACCATGTGCACGCATGGTCAAAGGAATGAGATGAACACACCCTGTCTTCATAAAGACCAATTTATGTGTGCGAAATGGCATACGCATCATTTATCCATCTGGTCCCTGGTCTCCTCAGCTTCATCTGCAGCTGGAGCCTGGTCTTAAAGACCATGAACTGTTAGAGTTGGGAATACTTTATGATCTAAATAAAACACAATGTTGCTGAAAGGAATATGACCAGTAGGAAATTTACAGTTAAAACATCTGATTAAGAAGAGGAAGCTTTAGTGACTCAGACAGACGAGATGAAAGAGGCTGAATAACGTCATTCTGTGAAATCAATTACTAAAATGAAGGAAAGATAAAAGGAGGTTTCATCAAAACAGAACAAAATTGTGACAGTAAGAAACTTTAAATGAGATTCTGGGTGGATCGTATTTTCAAAACCTCTTGATATTCTTAATTATTATAATTTTTTTTCTTTAAGCCAGTTCATGTCAGATTGGTACAGAAACTTCTAAACAACCCAAGCCTTCCATTGTATTTAATTATCATAACATAATTAATAATCTGAGTATGAAGGAGGGTCCTACAGCCTGAATACTGTACCAGTTATTCCTTTAATCAAAACCAAAAGGTGCCAGCAGACACCCTCTCAACAGGTTCATGTAAAGAGTTGTGTTGAATCAGATAAAGAAGCTAAACTCAGAATCCAACAAGCCTGTAAAGATTCATTCTGCCACTATAGCTTCAGTGCCGACGACTGATCAGTGGTTGAAGATACAGGCAGAAACAGAGTAGTTGGTGCTGTCTGATCTAACAGACCATGAAACACTCTATATGGTTTTAATTGTACTGCTCTTGACTGGATGAGGAGCTGACTGGCAGGTAGAAAGGTTAAAGGTGTTTAATGGTAGTTTTTCTAAGGATGTCACAGGATGGCGTCCCTCAGGGAAGCTGCTTAGGGTCTTTGCATTTCTCTATATGCATTAGTTTTTTGTGATTGCTTATACACTAAAAGTGAATGCTTAGACCAAAGCTTCGAACCCTTAACTTTTGAAATCATGTCTTAAACAGAGGTACAAACACATTTCATAATTTTCAATTCTACAACACTTTTTCTTACATAAGAGACTATGTTCAAGACTTAAATCTGCAATCATTGGGAAAACATTTCTTTTTCAAACCGCGAAATACACCTTGATTTGGCAACACAGACACACACACACCTAAAAACACTTATGCAAAAACTGAACACCACTCGGTCTGAGTCTTAGTGCTACAGATAGACCTCAGGTGAGCTTCTGTGAGAACTTGTAGACAACAACAACAAACAACTCAGTTTCACTGGGTTTGATGTAACTTTACTGTTTATTGTATGAAGTGCAAGTGAAAACACTTGACTATAAGATTTATAATTATATAAACTGGTGAAGTGACCGTTCACAATATCCCTGATGGGAGTAATGGGTTAATTTTAAAGCAACATGACATCACAGTTTATGTGACATCATTGTGTATTGTTAAACTGGAGTTCAGACACTCATCTTGGAGGGGTCCACACAGAAAGGAAGGTCCTGGTAGACAGCTAGTCAGAGCTCAGTACTCACAATAATAAGCAGCTACAGACAGCTGACCACAGTAGTGACAGACGGAAGCTGTATATTTAGCTGAAACATTCTGAACACACAAACCACAGAGAGGAACGTCTCTGCTTCTGTTACAGTACAACTGAGCTGCTGCTGGACTCCATCATTACTGCTCAGAATTCAATTCAATGTGCAGTTTATTCACAAGCAGATGCAAAGTTAACGTGACCAGATAACTGAAATGAAAACCGGGAACATTTCCAGTCCGACGGTCAATATATCATTAAAATATCCAATATTTTTATCTATGATGTAAAAAGGAGGACAGTCCTGGTTTCATGTATTTTGACCATGGTAACTGTTGTACTGTAATAAACTATGGTGAGGGCCAACTTATAAAGTTAGTAGGGTTGCCAAATGTCCCGAAAAACTTACAGAACTTAGCTACATAATCATCCCGTAATTGGAAACTAAATGATGTGTTCCATATTGAACTGATACTGTGCTTGTCCCATATTTTTGAGACTCAATTCAGTGCAAATCTATGGGAGATAAATACTACAGGTTAACAATTAAGACTCCTTCAACTTTCTCAAACTGAACAGTGATGAAACAGAGTTCTCCTTTTTGGTACCAAAAACACTTTAGCCAAACCCAACAGTGCCTTGAGTACCTTCAAAGGCGCCTATAAATAAAATGTAATTTTGTTATTACAACATGGTGATTTGTGTAAAATAGATGGAGACCCTCCTGTTCTCCCTAAGCCTGACATGTTATGTTCCCAAACAGAGAATTGTGGTCCTGGCTCACGACCAGTGTATCTCAGCCAATAATTTTGTTGTTTTGGCTGTTTTTCTACATGGAGCTTAAACAGAAAAAAAATACAGAGAGGACTGAGTCCAGGCAACTAGATTTAAGCTCCTGCAAAGCAGCATAGCAACAGCCATAAAGATATAAATTCTTCTCTTTTGTCAGTAGCGACATGCAACACATCGTTAGCTCGGATAGATTCTACACAATTCAACTGTTCATTTCATTTTACAGAAACCATGAACAGTATAAATCATTCAGATTTACCGCCATCCTAAACCAGCAAGACAGTGAAATGATGGGGACTCCCTACCTCTGAAGAGGTTGTGAATGTCTGTTCCTTGAATATTTATATTCCTTTAGTCCATAAAAGCCCACAGGTCAAAAGAATCAAAGGTTTTTTCATTGACGTATTCCAGGTTGTGAATATTTTCATGTGATAGTTGGGAAACTTTTTTTTCTTCACTTTTTGAGGGGCTTTGAGTATGTTTGTTTTCCTTAGTTTATGAGTTTATAGAGTTATGAACTCCTAACCAATGATTGAGCCAGCTAACCTCTTCTCTGCCTATAGAGACAACATAAAAAATTGCCCTCAACCCTCTCAGCCCCCTCAGCTGGCCGAAATAAGCACAACAGTAGACGTCTGCCTGTCTGCTCTGCGGTCCATTTCTAATTGACTCTTCAGGGGACAGCTCTAGCCAGGGACAAGCCACCAAAAACTGGGACTGTCCCCGGAAAATGGAAAATGGGGACGTCTGGTCATCCTAAGCAAAGTGTTCATTCTACACATATTTGAGTCAGAGTTCAGTCCTAGTCTAGTTCTCCATCTCCACACAGGATCTCTGGAGCTCAGAGTGACCATCAGGTTCTTGGTCTCCTCTCTTCTCCCCTGATGTCTCAGTTAGTCTGGGTCCAGCTCTAGAAGAGTCCTGGTTGTTCCAGACTTCTTCATGTCAGAATGATGCAGCAGCAGTTCCCTCCTCCTCATGGTTTTTGCTCTGATCTGCATTGTCAGCTGTGAGATCTTATATAGACAGGTGTGTCTTTATCATGTCCAATCAGCTGAGTTTACCACAGCTGGACTCCAATCAAGGTGTAGAAACATCTCAGAGATGATCCAGAGAAATGGAGGAACCTGAGCTAAATTTACAGTCATAGTAAAGTGTCTGAATACTTATGTCAGTGTGGTATTTCAGTTAGTGTGTTTGTGTTTGTGTGTGTGCGTGCGTGCATGCGTGTACCTCTCTGGTTACTGCTGCTGTGGTCTTCCAGCAGGTTGGACTCTGGTTCTCTGATCACACTCCCTCCAACGTACCAGTTGACATTTGGGTTCCAGCTGTTGCTGTAGCCACAGAGGTGATGCTCTTCAAAGTCACACTCTGGTCATAGGAACATTACAGTCATTTCACTCAGTCTCACATACTGTGCATCACATCAGATTTTAAATCTGAAACATCTCAGCCAATATGAAGCCGACACTGACCTATACAGTAACCAGGAACAATGTGGATTTCAAAGATGGCCACGCTGTTCCCTGAGCCAGGTTCTGGTCGACCGTCCAGCAGAATCTGTGGAGGAAAAAAGTCTTACCATCCACCTGTGTCTGAAGAGCCACCAAGTCACACCAACATCACCTCACATCAGGTTGTAATTGCAGGACATTACAGTAAAGCAGCAAAGAGCAGGTGTCAGGTTTGACAAAGCAAAGTCACCGACCCGCAGCCCTTTGCTCCATGTCTCTCTCTCTCTCTCTCTCTCCCCTTCCTGTCTCTCTCTAACTGTCTCTATCACAATAAAGGCAAAAATGTCCAAAAAATAACTTTAAAAAAGAAAAATTCTGTTTAAAGGAGTGAGACCAAACTCACACTTGTTTCATCAGTGTATGCAGAAAAATAAACTAAATTCAACAGTGTCCATGTGGTAAATAACATCTTGTCTACCATATTGTAAATACAATGATGAAATAATCTACTTCAGTACAGTTTAAGATTTTGCTCCAAAAAGAGTTAAACAAAAACTTTAACTGGAGTTAATGAAAAGAGAAAAAGTAGAAGCTGATAATATGATGCTAAGCTTATTTGCTTTGCTTCAGCTACTATAACCGAAGTATTAAGTGTATTGGCCCTTTATGTTCAGGACACCGTGGGGGGCGTCTCCACTGAGTTTAATCAGGATTGTTCTAAGAGAGGTAAGATTATTTATAAAGAACATTTCATACACATTTGAGTGTATGAAATCAAATGAGTGTTTGAAATCACAAGTGATTTACAAGTTACATAGTAAAACTAGAATAAACACTTCCTGGTTGTTTCCTCTACCAACCAGCTAAGTTGCAGGAAATATGGTCACAGTCTCTCTTTCCTGAGTTACAGCTGTGAATAATGGCCAGAAGTGTTTTGGGCATTCCTGATATATTGCATTCACAAGAACATGAGATCACTGTGACCTTGAACTTTGTTCACCAAAAAGTCCGAGTGAACATTTGGGCCAAATCTTAATACATTTCTTCAATGTAGTCTTCAGATATCACATTCAAGAGGCCAAAACCATGTTTTGTGAGGTCACTGTGACCTTGACCTTTAGCCACCAAAATATAATCAGTTCATCCTTGAGTCCTAATGAATGTTTGTGCCAAATTTGAAGGTCTGTCAAGGCGTTACTGAGATATCACATTCACAAGGCCCAAACCGTGTTTTGTGGGGTCATCGCCACCTTGACCTATGACCACCAAAAATCAGCAGGGACAGAAGCTCAGTTTTACACATTCACAGGTGAGTATCATTTCTCCACTCTGATTTAATGACCAGGCACGTGTGAATGGGTGAGGTACACATATATAAACATATGGACAAGGCCTGAGTCAAAATATTGTGTCACATGACACCTGACACATGATTTGTTCTGCCAGTCCATGCAGTGAATCACAAAGTGTGACTGTGTTCACATCCTCCAGTCAGAGCTGTAATCACTCAGTGAAGATAACTGCTCTGTCATTAATTTAATTACCAACATGATGTGGTTTTGTTTCCCCTCATAACTCAGCATGTCGTACTGTTCACTCTCACGTTCTCATGTTAATCATTGCTCCTCCCACAGAGACGTCAGGAAGTCAGATTCAGAAAGTGACATCATAGATGACATCATAGAAACTCACTAGTTTTCTTTACATTGTGATTAGTAGCCAGAAAAACTTTATCAAAAACTTTTTTTTTTTAATATAAAAATATAAAGTCTGCTTGACACGTAAACATTAAAAGCATGTGAACGACATACATTAACAATTAAAAACAATGAAATTTTAAATATTGACACCATGATACCAGCTGATGTGCAGGAGAAAATAAAGATTTCACTATAACCTGCTGAGTGTATCTGATGTTATATGGTGGAACTATTGATCCCTAAAACAATCAGATGGACCGTCCCACAGTCTGCTGTGATCAAACTGACTGGTCTTCTTTGGTAGAACAGTGAGAACCTAAACACTTGTTTAATGACAGGAAGCCTCGTACTCTGGAGTTTTCTCAAAGTGTCAAGTGGCTGAATTACAAACACGGGACTAGAAGAAGAGAAAAAGAACATGTCAGACACAGAAGAAACCTGGAGCCAATGAGGTCAATGATTGGAAGACATCTGTGACCTGCAGTTAGATGGTGAGCCATCATAATGACTGGAGGATTAAAACTGGTGGATCTAATATAGAGGAAACTCACTGCTGCTCCATGTAGATCACCGCACCACAGCTGTGATGAAGCTCTGAACTAAAGTATAGTGTTTCACTCAGCAGCTTCACTGTGTCAATGAAGCTGTAACAACCTGAGGCTTGTGTTTTGGACTTATCAGTGACGAACACTGCAGACACCTCCAACATAGTTCCTGAGAGCACTTCCCTCAGAACAGGGACTTTTTAGGACCAGGAAGTGAATTCAGACCAGGTCCCTGTAGTCAGACACACACACAGGTACAGTTCTGACTAAGTCTAACTCTATACCGATATATTTCTATTTTTCATTTTCTGAAAGAATCTGTTTTAGGCGCTGACAACTCAGGAGTAGTGTGGAGGACAGGAGGAAACGTAGCAGAAAAGATGAGTTTTGAAACTAATAATCCTGCTTCTGATGCCAAACAGCGTGACTCCATCCACACTACCATGTTTTAGGGTGGCAGTGACCCTGAACCTTGACAAATGTAGATTTAAGAGACATAAAAACTGCAGGACATCATTAGAAGAAGTGAAAATATAAAAAGACAGATGCAGAGGGAAGTGAGTGTGTGTTACTCTCCAAGATGTTAACTAACAGCAGACAAGACTACAGATCTGATGAAGGAGAACCATCTGTCATGGAAAAGATGTCACGTTTCAAAAAACAGGTTGGACTACCAATCCTTAACCCAACGATCGTTTGTACCCGCCTTCTGATACGACTCATAAGAGAGTACCAGCAGCAGACATATTAGACCTTTGTCGTCATGGTTACAACAATAAACATGTGGTTACGCTTATGGAACAGTCATGGTTTTGGTAGGTTTAGGAAAAACTTGTGGTTTGGGTTAAAATAAGTACTTCCTTAAGGTCAGACGACGCTTGTCGTCATGGTTACAATAATAAACCCATGGTTAGAGTGGTGAAACTGTCATGGGTTAAAGAAACAGCCCTGGCAAACTGAAGCCTCCTTTGTGAAAGACAACATCAACTGGAATGTGAACATGACAGAGCTCACTGAGATTCTGCTCTCTGCAGACCTCCCTACCTGGTAGGGGATGGTGGAGTTGGCCAGGTCCACACTTGCAATGAGCCAGCTGTCAGAGGTTTTGTTGGCCGTCCAGAGCCGGTAGTCAAAGTTATCACTGTCTGGTCTGAGGTCCAGATGCAAGGAGCCCCGTCCAGTGATCTGGTACACCAGCCTCATACAGCTCCACTCCTGCTGGTCCAGAACCGGACTGACAAGAACCGCCCGCTCCTGGTCGTGTAGGAAGGCTGAGTCCACCGTTATCAAATGTCCTGTGTCGACAGCATGAAGAAGTGTCAGTGCATGTGGATGATCTACTAGTTTCACATTAGATTTGTCTGTCAGAATGAAAAGAAAACACAGTGGAGGTTCTCTCAGACGTCTCAGGGGCTCAGTTTGTTTAGCAGAGATTATCTACTGATACTGATACTACATATACTACTGAACGTGACCATATTTATATTCATATTTGTATGTTGTTCATATCAAGAGAATACTGCTGTTTCTTGGTGATGTGGGGCCAGATCCACAAAGATATGTCAGACTGGTCTGTAGTGTTGGTCCAGTCTTCATTCTGCTCACAGATCAGTCTGATGTTAGTCACACAAATAAAGACTGAGAGTCATTTTAAGCAAAAACATTAACTCAGTCCTAAGACCAATGTTACCATGGTAACAATCAATGACACCCGCCCTGAGCAGTAGCACCCAAAAGACAAACATTTTCTACTGGTTTTTTTTTTTATTTAATTTACCCAGAATTCATTGTACCACATTCCATCTTAAGATAGTCAAGAACTAAACTGCTTTGTGCAACGGATGAACTCCGATGTCTGACTATTTGTTATATCTAACACACAGTCAAAGTCTGTCTTTGTGAAATTGGCCCCAGGACTTGAATGTGTCCTTATCTTCTGTCTGTCTCATGCCCTGTCTCATTAGAGAGAGTCAGCCCAGACTGACAGAGGAAAACTGTCAAACACCATCTGTTTGTGAGACGATTCGGCTGTGGTCTTGAAGAAAAGTAAATTATTATTCTCAGCCTCTGGAAGAGGAAACATCAGCAGATATAATGAAACACTGTTTAGTGACAGAGTCTGTTGTGGATTCATCTTTAAACAATGGGATCAAGCCATTTCTACAGTTAATTTAAAAAAAAAAAAAAAGCCCATTGTAAGTGCAGTCAAGTTCTTGTCCTAAGTCCTTATGAATTCTCCTTCACCTCTTTCCATGATCTCATCACGCTTTCCATCGAGGTCGAGGAGAAGCGGTTAGAAAAGGAGATTATTTTGACTTTTCGACCGCAGCCCTTGACAGTGAGTCCCTGAGATGAGCTGCGATGACTTATTACCAATGTATCCTCTGCCTTCTGACTGTGCACCCCTGCTGGACTGTTCGAAATATTTGCTGCAGCAGCATCCTGCATCCACCTCCACAACAAACCTGCTTGTTAGGTTTGTCTTTCAGTTCAAGAATCCTCTGTCAGACACTGATATAAATTTAATACGAGCTGATACTGATTTACAGTCTGCAGACATGGAGGGAGACAAAGGCAGCAGCAGTGATAGCGCTTGATACTTGATTACTTTCTGACCATGTTCTGAATTTAACAAAGTCGACGTCTTTTCTGAAGCAGATCAGTAAAGTCTGAAACCTGAGGAAGAGTTTTCATCTTTACTCAGATCTGAGAGCAGCAGCAGTTCAAAGGATGTAAACAGAGTTTATGGAGAGCTGGTGTAAGTGCCCCCAGCTCTACATCATGCAGGGGAGGGGTGGGGGTTGCTGCTGTATCTGTAGTCCCTTATTTGGTCAAATGAAGTTGATGGAGAATCTGTGAAACAGTGGAGCAGGTAGAGCAGGCCAGACACAGCTCAACAGAGAGGACTGAGGCTGCAGACACACTGATCAACAGCCTGAGTATGTTAGCGGTATGGGGTTAAGTTGATTTACTGCACATCACATGTATTAAAATCACAGATAACCACGCAGATGTTTGAGGAGCTGTGCGGCCTTTACACAGCTGCAGTCACATGTTGTGAGGTGCTGCAGTGCTGCAGTACTTTATCATTATACAACAGTGTCTGACACAACACAACAATATTACACAACTGGAACAGCTGTCAGTAATCAGCTGATAAATTCATGTATACCAACTAGTTCCATATTTCCATCAGTGCAATGATGAAATGTTGTCAATTAGCATGATTGACTTTGATTGAATTGAATTTGAATGTATCAGTTCACAGACAACTCATCTCATATCTTGGAACAGCCACTGCAGCATTATGAAACAGGTAGTGAGTGTTTACTAGAACTGAACTGAGACTGATTTTTCTGCTGCCTCAGTCAGACCACAGGCAGTCCTGGTCCCAGTCCTTGGCTTTCTACACCCTCCATCCACCCTGACCTCCTCCCTCCCAGCTCTTCATTCATTCTGTCTGTGAACACAACCCAGGCTGAAATTACACCATTACGCACTGTGGTTGTGTATAAACATAAATTCTGGAGACAGCTCAGAGGAGAAAACATCTGAGGACCAGGCAACAGAAATCCTCAGAGAAAGACTGCTTTAGGAAATTGTCAGTAAAAATATAAACTCTACATGATTTACAGTTACAGACCTGAAACTTTCATTCTAACAAGTCAACAACACAAACAGTCTGCAGCCATGCTAGTCTGTCCTGCAGTAACCTTACTGAAACTGGAGGAAATAGTGCATCTGTTAGCGACTATTTTCAGTGGCGGATTAATCTGCCTTGGTGAATATTTGTAGCAGCAGGACAGTGTGTATGCGTGACTGAGTCAAAATAAGCTACAGTGCGTGGTGATGGTGAAGGAACATGTAACCCAGTGACACAGAGTGTGTCACTGATGGAGCTCTGAGGCTCAGAGCGAGGAGACGTGAGTCGGTTGACAGCGGCCCCATAATTCAAACCTTCAGAAATGAGAACAGGTAAGAACAGATTTATCTAATGGCTGCTTCAGCATTACTTTAAAATACATACCACTGCATTGTGTTACATAAACATTTGTAGGTCTTACTCCAGCCATCTATTTACTGCACTGCATTGTGGGAATGGATGGTTATCATATTGTACAATACAGTCAACTGTAAAAAAAACAAAAAAACATGTGTGTTCCATATTGCACACACTGCACTTTGTTACTGCAATCTTCTACAGAGTGGAAAGGCACAGACATCATGGAGGAAGAGGTCAGATGTTTACACAAGAACGGGAAGTGGACACTGTAAATATGGTTTTTACACAGACATATATGGTCTTTGTAGAAATTCTTATATGGTTTTGTTTTCTTGTACAACACTGTACCACAGTTACAGCAGTAATGTTTTGGATAACTAAATAGATTCAGTTTCAACACTGCGGTGGTGTTTGCTGTGCTGTGTACATTTCACCCCCTTCAGATTACTGTACTGTCACTTTCCATTGTAGGAAAATGTATACAAGTCTGTGGAAGACAGAAGAGCTTCTTTAGAAGATGGAATATCCAAATATATCTATCATGAAAAAAAAGTGTTTGGCAGTTTATGCAAATGCCTGATTCTGAGATGTGTTTATAATACTTCCAATGCAGTGTTTCATTGTTCAGCAGGTATGTGGCACTTTGTATTTTGGCTGTGTAAGTTTCTAAATGGGACCTAGTTTAGAAAATGTGCAAACACAGCTATAAAAAAAAACTGTAAATCACTGCTCTCGCTGATCATGTGTGTGTATCTGTGTCCTGGTTCAGTTATGAAACCCTTTGGCGCAGTGGAGTCTCTCCTGTGAGAGCTCACTGGCAGCAGAGGAAGCAGTGCCAGCGTCTTCACCAGATGTTTCAGTGGTTTTCATGGCACCACAGCTGGGGACAGTGAGGGTAGAGCTGAGGGATCTGGGGCTCGGCTCTACTTTTCCATCACTCTTCTGTTTCCATTCCGCTTCCATCTGCAGCTGAGTCATTCTGAGACCAGACTCAGTTACAGGGGTTTGTACAGATTCAGACTGAGGGCTGGAGAGCTGATGCATTGACAGGAGAGGAGACAGGGAGAGGAGACAAGGAGAGGAGAAGAGGACTATTTATGGACTATTCTTCAGTCTTAAGTGCCGCTAACATCAGCAGACCCCTTCACCTTGAGGACCACTCTGGTGGTGGTCTGTGGGACAGATCTCCACCTCACTCCATCCATCCATGTCTCTGTGTTTACTCTCCTCCAGCCTGAGCTCTTTGTCTCTGTTTAGTGAGTATAATCACCTCCAACATCCATCCTCCTTTAACCACAACTTCTTCTTTTTTTGGCGCAGCGTCCTTAGCTGGAGCCCACATTGCCATGGCAACCAAACAGAAAACACCACCGTGATCCCGTCTTCTTTTTTTTTTTATGAGCCTATTTATTGCCGCAGTGGGTGTAGCCTATCACCAGCTCCAAGGTCGGACTGGAGCTCAGTCCCCCTCAATCTGGTTAGTGGTTTAGAGCTGGGCCTCAGCTGGAGCTCCTGTTTGGGGTTCGGCTCTACAGACTAGCTGCAGTCACTTCACACTGTGAAGTGCTGGAGGCTTGGCTGGAGCAGAGATGGCACACACAATTTACACTTATGTCACTAGTGGGAACATAAACAGTGCTGACAGATGATCATAAACAGAGGAGGGAGCTCTGGCTTGATGCTCGCGGAGCCGCAGAAATACAAAAAGACATAAAAGGGAAGGGAGTGGGGGAAGAGGGGGCCGGGGGGGTGGGGTGGATATGAGGCTCGGTGTGTGGAACGTGGTGACACACTTTCATAACACCGGAGATCAGATTCAGCACAGCATTTCATGACATCTTATGCGTAGTTTAAGTAGCTCATCTTTTACCAGTCAAACAGGGTAATGACACGTTTATCAGCTGCAAGTCACAACAACTGACACTGCCTCGTTGTCTCCTCAGAAAAGGTCAGAATATTAGGAGATAAAGTTGTAAGCTTGTGATTATAATATGATAATAGAGCTGTAATTATTACCAAAAAAAAAAAAAAAAAAATCACAATGTCACAAGAGTAGTACGGTGGCCCTGAGAGCTCAACACACTGCAACGTAAGAAAACACATGCAAATAAACAAAACACAAGCAACTTCAGAAAACATCTTCATCAATTTGACAACACACGCGCTGCAGATACTCACACACTAACACAACAGAAGTGTTTCCAGAGGACAAAAAAAAAAAGTGATGAGCCCAGCTGGGGCACAATTGTTCAATGCTTTGTGACTTTTGAAGTTAAAAGCATTGAACAACAAGTGCACATGGATTATTATTATTAAAATACATCCATGCACATCATCACTTTTTTTTTTTGCCTTTATACTGATACTGACAGAGAGAGAGAGACGGGAAAGTCAGGGAGACAGAGAGAGGGGATGATATGCAGAAAAGGGCAACAAACTGGACTCGAACCCTCATCACTTTTAAGTGTCTACTGGAAACACTTGTGTGTGTTGTGTTCCTCAGTGTGGTGTCATATTGATGAAGATGTTGCTCTGAAGATGTAGCCTCTCCCCACAGCCTCCGGTCTGGTCTGGCTGCTGACAGGACTGTGAAGCTGCACTGATCAGGTAAACACACCTTCCTCTGATGTGTCCAGTAGCAGGTGAGCTGAAGTTGTGTCATCGGTGAACATGTATGTGTGAACGAGCACATTTCAAACAGCTGACTCTGACCTACTTCAGTCTCGGCACTAAAGTTACCAACAGACTTTCTCTCTCTCTCTCTGGTTTCAGCTGCTGTGTCCAGTTTTCAACAGCTTGTCTCACGTCACTTTTGTCTCTTCGCCGACAAACTGAGAAACTAGGACAGAGTCCACCTGACTCCACAGCTTTACTGATACAAACACAACACTGTGGTGAACCCACTCATTTTTTTTGCCCCTTTTCCTGCTGTAACACCGTTCAGCTCACAGACACTGTAGACACACCTGTCTCCTGTCACCACGGCTACACCTTCCTCTGAGAGTGAGCTGCAGCCCCGAAACAAAAACACACAATCACCGATCCAAGCGTCTCACACGGGGGCTCCCGCATAATCACAGGAGCAACAGCCCGACGATGAGACGTGACAGATCTGTTTCCACCAGTTTCTAGCAGCTCACTTTTCCTCCACTGCGTCTGTGTGTGTGTGCTCTTGAAAGTGCAAGTGATGACATCACTCCCTGCAGTTGTGTGTGTCCTCAGTCCAGACAGAAACGCAAACTTGACCGGCGGTGGAAAAGTGGTCAATCAGCTTTTATTGGCAGGGTTACCTGTGTTTAAAAAAACCTGCTTATACCTGTTCATTTTGTTGGAAGAAGGGTATGAGCGAGGAAGTGCAGAGGTGAACAGACGGAGGTGAACCTTCAGGGCTTCAACTAGAAGTCTCTGCTGTTTAACAGTCCTCACTTCCTGCTCTTTTGTTTTCCGGCTCTGCCTTGGTAGATGAGTATACCCAATTGAACCTTATTTTACAGAATTCCTCTGAATTTTTTAAAATATTTTATAAAATATAAAAGTGGCTCACCAAACTCTCAGCGTTTCATAAACGCTCCCTTATTCCAGAATCAGTCATCCGAGCCTGTACAGTTAGACCAGGAGGGAGGGAGGGGGCTGTACAAGTTCTTTACATCAGTACATTCATGACCACCAAGCAGCTAGTGTCAGAGTTTGTGAACAGCTGAACTCGATGGTCTCTTCAAGGTTTCATTAAGGAGGCCTGGGCCTGTAACTTCAATCCAGAGATATCAGCAGAGTTCTGGGAAGAGACAATGTCCCCGGTTCATTGTTGTTCTATTCACTCACGCTGCAGGTTAATTCAGTACAAGGTGATGCACAGGCTGCATTACTCAGAAACACAACTGACCCACATCTTCCCACCAGTGTCTCCAGTATGTGACAAGTGTTGCTCTGCTGTTCACTAACACTTCCTCTCTGCTTTTGTGCTGCTAATACACAATTTTTGAATTTAAATTTTTAAAAGCTCTAGAGACTTTCAGCCCAAGCACAACCTGGTCATCACGGGATGCAGATTGCTAACCAGGAAGACTACAGCTCCACCCTGCTTAATGTATTGGCTCGCATATTACCCAGCATCCATATCCATATCAACAGTCTGTGTCCTGCATCGCCTGTGATTCTGTCTCACTTGATGTAAACAAATGTCCCACATGTGACCATTTAATCTCATTCCCACTCACACTAGTCCTGTGCTGTTACTACAAGTTCAATCACCCCACCGCTGCAGTGAGCGAGGCTGAGAAAGATGAAGTAGCATCACAGCGGCAGCATCCTGTGGAAGGTACAATGTGATGTTTGATGTGAACGGCAAAGACAGACAACCTGATAAACTTCTGATCAACCTCTAATCAATCTTTGATCAACCTCTGATCAATCTCTGATCAACTTCTGATCAACCTCTGGTCTTTCAACAGGAAATCCTCACGGAGCTGTTTTATGCCAGGAAAACCCCCTGGTTATATTCTGGTTACCATCTGAGTAACTGACTCAAATACACACACACACACACACACACACACACACACAAATACACACACATACACACAGAATAATAGAGAGAAGAATATTCTCTGACTTCTTTCTATTCTTTGCTGTTTTCTCGTGACGTACTGCACAGTTGTCTCCCGTCCTCTGCTCAGCCTGTTGAATACTTCACAGCTACAACTTTCAACATGGCACCAGAGCCTTCCTGTAATTAACCATTTGTGTGTTTGCATTTGTGAGCTGAGATTTTCTGGACTCACATCAACAGGACTATCACTAACTTATTGAATTTAAGATCTAGACCGCATTTCACCTGGGAGATAAAAAAAATAAATCCTGTCTGTGGGAGCATTAGCATGTGCATCATAGAAGCTGAGACACATTGATATTTCTCATTGCAGGCGAGACGTTACTGCACTGATGTCACCGAATGCAACATTTCTAATCAACCACTGAAAAAACATATTATAATCAAAACACATAACGCACTTAATGTGTGTTGTTATGCACATTAAACACACAGTGAGTCTTTCCTGAAATATTAATTCAACACCATCTAACACTGACAGCATATTGTTGGCTGTATATAATAAATATGCCGTCTGTATACTAATATTTGAGATGATGATTTTTCAGCAGAAGCTCGGCGTGAACTTTAAAGGATGAGGGTGGATGATGTTGATGTGATTGTTTATTACTGGAGTGAGCTGTAAGCAATACTTTATAATCAGAAATAAAAGTCTTTTGAGGCAGGGGTGGTGCAAATTTTCAGTTCTTAAAAGCGCCACCTACAGTCAGAAGTGGTAAACTCAACCCACTCGTTGGCAACGTCTGCAGAAAACAAACAGAACCTGGTCTGCGAGTCCTCACAGGAGGCAGATATGATGATATGATGGTGATGACGAGTCACAGGTCAACACCTCAGAACAGCTCCCACACCACTGACACACTTTACACATCTTTATGTGGGTTTGTGGTTTCACCCATTAAATTCACTGTACTCTGTGTAAATGTGGCTCAGACTCACTGTGCCTGGACCCGCAGTGCTCACTGTCTAAACTGGACGATCAGTTCAGTGTAAGTTACTGTTCAGTTTTCTTTATATTTCTACAGCAGTCGTTCGCTGTGGACTCCACCATGGTGTATTTGAATGGCAGTGTGTTTGTTTCTGTTAGCATGCAGAGCTTATGATGACACTGTACCTTCTTCATTCATCCTCCAGCTGCCGAACTCTGGGTCCGACGTGTAGCCACAGGTGCCCAGCTCAAAGTTGCAGGACCCGGGCAGCAGCGGCTGCTGCTGCGCCCCGAGCAGCCCGCACAGGAGCAGCGCTGCAACAAGAGCAAAAGACAAGCATCCGTGCTTAGCGTCTGTGGCAGAGCAGAGAAACTGAACTTACAAAACCAAAGTCTGAAGTTTTACCCTGAAGAGTCAGACACCAGCTGCGCATCGTGTCCGCCGCTGAGAGTCTGAAGATCTGTCGTTCAATCACTGTTCGTCCCAGAAGAACCAGCAGCTCGTTTACACCCTCACTGACCGTCTCTGTCCTTCACATGTTGTAACGGTGTCAGCGGGAGGGATGCAGTGTAGGTCTGGATGGTTGAATGGAAGTCCTGGAGGCGGGAGGGAGCAGCAGCGGTCCAGGTCTCAGCGCCTCCCCGCCCCCCTCCGTCGCTCTGTGCCGTCACACTCAGGGCCGGACCCAGAGGCGCTCAGGGCCTTTAATACCCTTCCCTGCTACCATATACAAGCCAATAAAAGTCTGGTCATGTCCAAAAAAGTTATTAGTGTCTGCATGGTCAGGAGGTCATCATGACTCTCACTCTGTTGTTGTTACAAACAGAAATGACCAATGAGACGGCTTCAAACAAGTTTCAATTTGTAATAGATACATTGATTTTAAGCTTAATATTTTTAATTGGCGACTTTAAATTGCACGTAGGTGTTTATCCAATACAATTAAAATTCCATTAAATAACATTTAGATGAGGAGTGGGCGGAGTCATTTGGCGTTGTGGGAGCTGTAATTTAAAGCTCAACCTGGAAAAAGTTAGCAACATGTGATGCTGAGCCTGAATTTTTATTAAACATAGACTAATATTAGAACACATTTTAATTTAATCTAGTTCTGCTTTCTCTCGCACTGCAGAATGAAGTAAAGAGCTGCTGTTGATTAATGATGAACAGTAGTAGTAGTAGTAAGATGGCGCCGCGTGAGTGGCAGCCCGCCACAGCAGCTCGGTACTCTTTTTTTTTACTTTTTTACTCTTTTTTACTCTTTTTTCCTCTTTAGTGTGATTTATTCTTCGTACTACACCGACACTTGAAGCAAGTGCAGCTATGGGTGTTTATACTTTTACACTCGTGTTTTGCCTCTTGCTGTTTTCTGAACTTTTTGATGCAACGTCGGGGGACTCACTCTACCACGGAGCCATTGTTTACACTCGGGACCAGCTGTTAGACACACTACCCTGATGCAGACATGATCAGTCCTCAGCACACGGTCAACCATGTGACGTGGTGTACACAAAAGAGCTGAGTAACTGCATAGCAAGCTGCAATACTTTCATGTCATCACCTTTTTAGCTAATATGGTGAATTTAAAATAGAGCAACATGATGATTCATGTGGTGTGATGTTTGTGTCATCTAACCACTGTCTGTCTGTAGTTAACATTATGATACAGTTCTCACTGTTATATTGTTTTTTCTACTCAGCCACGGTCTGGCTAGAATGGTTAGCAAGGCACATCTGTAATTCAGGTTAGGTGTGATATTAACTGGGATGCTGAACTGGACAGTTGACTCCTAAGAGTGTCCTTTAGTACCGAACACTGAACAAGACATTTCAGTCACACTAGAACTGAAAACACACAATAAAAGGTCTGAGTTCTAGACGCATCCTCTATCCTGATTGGTCAATGTGTGTGGTACGGTCTGTCAATCACACAATAGCCACGCCCTAAAGCTTACCCTGCTTTATCGCCTGTTTTCCTCTAAATGGGACCATAATGTAAAAAATGAACATCATGTTGCATTGAACAGGACTTGAAACTAGAGATTGAGACCACATTAGGAAGTCATGTTTACTGAGGTAATAAATCAAGTGCAAAGTACAATCATTTTCCCATAGACTTCTATACCAGTGGTTCCCAACCTGTGGGCTCGGGCCCACTGGTGGGCCACGAAGGTATCGCAAGTAGGCTGACAAATCATTTGCTCAACAGACCAATTTTGGTTAAAATATGTAATGTTTATAATGTTTTTAAATAAAATGATCTGAAACGCCATGAAAAAAAGTTTTTTTTTTTTTTTTTCTTGGCCTGTCATTGTGATAAACTTTTAAGTTGTCACTACTGGACGTCACCATATACTTTGTTATTTTAGTCTGATTGTGTGCTAACAGATTTAATCCATGGCAAAAAACCGGCGAATTAAAAGGAGGAATGGAAAGAGAAAAATTGAGCTTTCAGTCCTGAATGTTCCATCATTACCATTAAAATAAAAAGTGCTCTGAGAAGGCATTATCTGGCTTCCATATTGTGACGGGGTCGGACGTGGGCAGCCAACATTTTTGAGATTTTCAAGTGGGTCATGAGTTGGAAAAGGTTGGGAACTAGTTGTATACACAGACTTCTTTCTTCATCCAGTGGATTTGCCCCCTGCTGGCCATTCGAAAGAATGCAGGTTTAAGGCAGTTCAGAACCAGAGTCTACATCCACTCTTATACACAGTCAATGTAAAAGCAGATAGAAAACATTCATACATTACTTAATAATATATCAACTAGTAAATTATTACTTCCAATGAACATCAAGTTTTCATTCTATATAATACAAGACATACGATGAATGAAATGATCAGTCACACCATGACTGAGTGTTTCCACCTTGAACTGCAGTGAACCAATGACAGTCTCATAAAAACAGATTCAAACAGCCAGGGTTTTATAAATCACAAACCTAAAGAACCAATCCTTGCCCTAAAGTTTACTTTTATTCGATGATCTGTTACTGGGTAAAGTTACTATTTAAATGTAAATCCAGATCTTAAATGTTAAAAAACCATTTGGTTGACAGCATAAAAAAGTCCTCTTAGTTTTGGAGGGGTTGTTTTGTCCTTACCATTGACCAAACCTACGCACTTATTTTGTAAACACAGACACATAAAACACAGTACATTACATTACATTAACACCAGAGAGCACCTTTAAACGAAGCCAGGTGTTTCCCATATATAACCACACAACCGTGCTCTGTGTGTGATGATAACTCCATGACAACTGAACAAACATCATGTGGTGATGAGGACCGTGAGACATGGCTGAAGGACCAGGAAAAAAAAAACTAGTGTTGGACTGGAGTGAAGTGAAGTTATTACACCATTTTATGGGTTCATTTTCTTTGTCTCTATTGCCTGAAGCAGACGAGTGCGGTCACAAAGATATGATAGAAAATATTCCTGAGATGTCTCTGATATGTGGAAAACAATATGTGGTTAAATATGATCATAACACCCCACCAATATCACAGATCAAAGCAGTCTCAAAGCACTACACGAATAACAGAGAGGTGTTCATTTGGGTTCACCCTCCACTACATCCCTGTGTATTCCTCTATTTCCTGTTTCAAAATCAGGGTGGTTTTTCCAGGGAATCAAACATCTAATGTGAAATATATGTGGGGATTGCAGGATATTCCCAAAGCTCAGGACTACTGTGGACACATATTACACATCTGGATATGATTATATTCAGAAACACTACATCCCATAATTCTACAAGTCTGCCTCTAATTACTGAGCAAATATGTTGTTCCTTTCAGCAGTGATAAGGATGTGACTAGAGAGAGAAGACAGTTCTGACCTCTATAGTCATACATTTAAACCAACACATCCTATACACAACCTACACGTGTTGTAAGTTATCACCCCTTTAAAGGTGATGATGTTACCAGTTGTCATCACTCCCACGATTATGCTTCAGAAGGGGCACACTGCGCCTACACCAGACACTGTTCTCCCCTGTAGTGGTGGACAAAGATGAACAAATTCATCTTTATAGCCTGTGGACATTAGGCCTTGCTCCTGACTCCTGTTACCTGCAGACTTTGGAGAGACTCACTGCTAAATTTTTTAGTGCCTGTAGCCGAAGGAGGCAAATGAGGAGATGCGAGTCCAGGGTGATGTTTTCAGCATGAACACTGTGCACCGTGTAAAGACGTTCAGCCCATCACCTTCCGGCCTATCCGAATGAACAGACTGCCTTATATGAGGGAGTCCTGTGTTTCCTCTAGAATGTTTCAGCCATGGTGCTGTTGTGCTGGTGTCCATGAGGATGCGACCGCAGCCTCTTTTCATGCAAGTCAGAAAAGCTTCAAACTAAATGACCAGGCCCTCCTTGCTCCTCTCCTTGTTCCTCTCCTTGCTCCTGTCCTTGCTCCTCTCCTGGCACCTTTCCTCAATCCTCTCCTTGCTCCTTTCCTCACTCTTCTCCTCGCTCCTCTCCTTGCTCCTCTCCTCACTCCTCTCCTCGCTCCTCTCCTTGTTCCTCTCCTCGCGCCTCTCCTCGCTGCTCTCCTCGTTCCTCTCCTTACCTCTACTTGCTCCTCTCCTCACTCCTCTCCTTACCTCTACTTGCTCCTCTCCTCGCTCATGACCTACCACTGTACCTTCTCTCTCCTGTCCTCCTTCCTGCTCTCTTGCTTCTCTTTCCTCCCTCACCTGCACTATTCTTCCTAACAAACCAGTTTAATAGAGTCATCTGAAAACTGAAATATAATTTCACTATCAAGATGTATGTGTTCAGGACAAATCTGAGTTTAGTCTAAGCTTGTACTTGACTTTCACTTACTGGACAAGTAAGTGTGATAGTAATAACATTGCTATGTCAGGTAGCTTGTCTCACCCTGTGGAGCGCACCAGCTATGCTGTAATTACTAACAGGGGATCTTAACACTGGACATGCAGGTAGGGGTGGGTGAGATATCGAATATACTTGATGTATCTTGGCTTGTTCCACATAGGATGTAGTAATTGACAACATCACGAACATTGAGTATAATGTATCACAAAATTGTTTAATATAATTAATCATTATATAATTATTAATATTAATATTAATATTATATATATATGCATATATAACAAAAATTTTGTAACACTTTACATATATATATATATTAAGATATATCTTAATAAATATTTACACACCCACATAATAAATATATTATATAAACACATTTACACGAATACACACCATGGCCACGGATGTGTTGAGATATTAAAATGGCAGGAAGTAGTTCAGGGCAGCACTGACAGACTTCACCTGACGTGTGCATGTGGTTGTGAATGGCAGCAGAGTTCAGATGGCCTTGAGCCGAGTTGTCTGTGGATTTCTATGAACTTGTGGTTAACAAGAGACTGGTTGACAGCTGGTCAGCTTCAGGTGTAGCTTTGTGTGGCACAAGCTCTCTGATTCAAGCTTGGAAACCCCCCACTGCTTTACTCATGATGGATGCACCATCATAGGCTTGTACAACACATATTAGATCAACTAAGTTATGTAACTACGGCACCTCCTCTATTGCACCAGCAATGG